AATGCCATATGTAACAGTATTCAATGAACTCCTTTGGTAATTGCAATGGAGATAATAATGAAATGGATAACATAGGAAGTGACAAAACAGGAAAGACTTTAAGGGTCATGAAATGGTGAATATAGTTACACTCTAGTGCAGCCTACCTAATGAACAGCATGTAAAAATCCCCCAAACACCAAAAAGCATTAAAATCTGTAGCCTTTTTTATTTCCTACCAGATTTGGAAACAGGTTTCATTGTAGATGAGCTGGGTGATAGCATACAGAAAAGATGCTGTTCTAGGGGATACAATGAACAGGCTTTAAGAAGAGGGAGGTGTTACACCTTTTTTTTTTTAATCTGCTTTTTAAAAGCGTGCTCTGTCATAATTTCCTCTGTGTTTGTTTTTATTTTATTCATTATACATTGGGCGCTTTGTGCTTCTTTTTTCTTATATTTAGTCCAAGTTATGTACATGTTTTGCTACTCTTTGTATCTCCATAACTGTGGTTTTATCAATTAATTGATAAATTAATTAATAGATACTGGCAAGTATCAATTTATTAGTTCTGCAATTGTAGTAAATCTTTTTAGATGCCTATGACTGTTCCTGCTGTTAAGTGCTCATATAAATGGCTTGAAAAAATATCTGCTGAAATATTGTGATACTGATCACTAATAAAGACCTTGTAGCTTGTGAGGAAACTGTAGTAAGTCTGTTGGCTTTCACTGGTAAAAGTACCTGCATGGCTTTTAGTCCAGTTGAGGGTAAAACGCTGTTGTTTGCATCTTCCATGCTTATGTGCTTACTGCTGCCACTAAAGAAATGGTCATGAGATGTTACTACCTGTGTAATAAGCTTACTGGAGTCGATCTGTGTATGTTCCGCACAGCCGAGAAGTTTGTGCAAACACCATTATTGTTTAAGATTAATGTAAATGGTCTTTCAGAGATCTTGTTTCATACACTGACAAGCTAAAAGGAACTGCTGGGAGCACATTAAGGACAGGATTCTTCTCACCCTGTCTGAGACACTTAACAATTGAGATTTATAGAACTTAACTGATCACCCAGGGCCTGTTATCATCATTGGAACTAGTGGCTTTGGAGCACGCTTAATCTTAACTGCTTTTAGACATCTGCTTTAGGAAAACTGGAATCACATCCGAGGATATCCAGACTCTTTTGGTTTTACCTTCATTGATGGTAAGGATAGCTCTGCATCTACATTGTGGACATCCAGATTTAGTGAGATAAGCCCAGTAGATGAAGTCCCAGAACTGAGTCCTCAGAAGCCTGGGAGCTGCATTTGCACATGCCTGGGCGGCTGCCATTCTGGTGGGTCTGGTGACCCTTTGATGTGTCAGTGGAATCGGCTGTCATTCCAAGCCTACGAGGGAACTCTGAGGCATAGTTAATGCATACAGAGAAATCTGACATCTTGAAATAGAACAGTCTGTCTCAGAAGTCACGCCAAGAGGAACAGGCTCCTTTATCCAGTAGCTCAAAGAAAGGAGAATTTCCTCAGAGTATTAGGAGTACAGGCAAGTGCTCTCTGTGCAAGGTGGTTCACGTCCACATATCCTGCTACATCCCAAGAATCAAAGTTAGAACATGGGTGGTAAGCTCTTCTGGAGTGGGAGGACTCTCTCCTTTTAAAACTGTGTCACTTGACAGTAAGCTGGGCCAAACAAAGTAAAAAATGATCTAAGATTATGCACCTCCCTTGAAGAGGGGAGCCCTAGGCTGCTGCCCTGCTATGAGAACTATTACTACATTTAATGCAGTGTTCAGTGTGTTTGTTCCTATGCATTCCTTCTTCCAGATAAGTGACTTAATTGCTTTGCTTCAAAATGTGCTCCTTACTGTTTCCCTCTGACCAGTGCCTTCTCCCAGGCTGGAGAAGATTAGGTCATACATAAGCCTTGAGCTGTCATTCTGCACCACAGACTGTGAATGTTAAAAGTAAATCTTTTTTATGCCTTTTGGCACTCAGAATGGCAATTATTAGAAATTTGTTCCCAGTAACGAATACAAAGTGTTAACTCCATCTTTAATGCCAAGTAGAGTGACGAGTACGCTCACCTCCTGCTGACTCCCGACTTGCTGACATCTGAGAAAGGTGGTTACATACCCTTGGTGTTCAATTTGTGCTAAAATTGTAAACAACCACTTTGAAGGTCGGTAAGCTGTTTGGGGGGCTAAGGCATGACTATAATATATTCAGGGTGAAAGTAACTTGAGATTAATTTCTTTCTATAAATCAGTTCTGGCAACATTCTTTAAGGAAATTTAATAACATCATCTTTGTTGTATGTAAGACCTGTTTTGTTAAAAGTAGGGCAAAGCTATAATAGGATTTGATCACCCTGACTACAGCATTGTAAAGAAGGGGCCAGGGACTAAGCTGTTGATGCTCAAATCAGGGAAAAAGCTAGTTAGGTTCCCTGACATTAAGGGAACGAATTTTTAGAAAGCTGTTCATTGATATCTGACAAACAGCTTGAAAGGGGTGCCAAACCCTCAGGGTTTCTGTCATGAGCCTTAAAATGCATTTGCATATTTTTGCATAGAAACAAGAGCTTACACTCTGTTGCCAAATTGCAGAACTAAAAGGATGCGAAAACTCTTATCTAGTCCAAAGGGCTCTGAGGGGGAACTTCATAATCAGAATTCAAATGTGTGCAACAGATTAAGAAATAGCTTCAAATGGGATTTCAGCCGTATCTGAGAGAGACCCACAAATCCTGAACAGATTGGTAGGCAAAATACTACCTGCACTGCCATTAAACAGCTTGTTTTCTTTTCCAGGCATTTCTCATGTAAAAAAAATAGCTCGCTGACGTCAGCTGATCACACAGATTAATGTTGTTTAAGGTGCTACTGCTTATTTTTCTTGATATGAAATGCAGTTTTTCTTACAGTTTTGATTTCTCTTTCTTGAAAACAATATCATCGTGAATAGGACCAGAGTGATGGAGGAATAATGAAATGACGGTCCTCCACATACAATCAGTGTCTCCAGCGGTCCAGTTTGCTAGCAGTTTAATATCCTTCCTAGCAATACCATTTGCTGTCAGTTGTTGTGTATTGAACCAGCAGTCCCTGGGCCTTGAAAGGACTGCAGGGTACCTTGCCAGGATGGGCAGCTCTGATAAGTGCAGAGTCTGTGACAGTGTGAGGTGTACTGGTTTAGCTCCTGCTGGTGGGATTCAGCTGGGAGTTTGACTGAAAAATGTTAGCATCCATGGTATGGTCCACACACAGGTACAACTACACTGGCCCCTCTGACATGCCTCATGCTGCTCTTATGCCTGCCATTTTCACTGAATAGTTTCCTCTTCTGATTCCAAATATTACTCTTTTCTATCATTAAAGGAAAATGCTTGCAAAGACAACAAAACATTTGGGCCCAAGATTGCATTTAATGTGCAGGTGATATTTTGTTGGCAGTATCCTCCAGATCATGAGCTAACTATGCTTTTATCATTTTGAGGAGGAAGCTGATGACTGCAGAGGAATTCATGATGGGTGAAAGTGCCATATAATTTTTAGCATACAAATTTACTCTCCGGTCATCCACCCACGCAGGCAGTAATGTGTGTGGAGTTCTCATTATATTAACAGAGAGTTGTCATTTAAATTTCCCATGCATCAAGCAAACAATAGACTTCCATTGCGTATACATGGCGCTGCCATTGATCTGATTGATTCTGGGTTGCAGTGGTGGATGTGGTCAGTGGTGTGTAAAAGGCACTGTTAACTCTTTTCATGAATATCTGTATTAGTCAGGACTGTCTTTGGAATAAAGTGCTAATAAGAAAATCAATATATGGTTAGATGACAGCCCATAATGAATATGATGTTAGAAAATAAATTATCTGTGACTTAAGTTATAGATTTGTGCAACACTGGTGGGTTTTAAAACTGTAGAAAAATATTGATATTGTATGTTCCTTAGACATCTGGCTCTATTTCTGTATGATGTGACTTTCTATCTCTTTACCCTTCATTTTCAAGGCTCACGTAACAGCAGCATAAGTTGGCAGGGATTTAAAACACAAAGAGTGTCATGGCTTCACATCACTGTCCATCCTACAGAGAATTGTGTTTAAGACTAAAATGAGGGGGCTGGGGTGGGGGGTGGTTCAGTAGCTCAGAAGAAATCCTTTTGCCAAGTTTGTGTGACTGAAGTCAAATCAGGAATATTAGGCATGTCTCCTGCCTCTTGTAAAGATGATCTGAGCATGAAACTTGGCAGAGCAGTGTGCTTCTTTGTTAAAGAGAATCTCAGGTTTGCTGGGTTGCCTGGTTCTGTGCCTTGTCTGCAGCTTTTTGGGGGAATGGCCCAGCTTTCCCTGGAAAGGGTGGAGGAGATTTCAGTGCAGGATAGCCCTGGCTTGGTGAGGGTGCTTCCCAGAGAGGTGAACATCTAAAGGATACAGAGACTGAGCTGGTGGTCTGTGTGGGGCCGTGCCAGTGGAATGGGGCAGGTCCTGGGATGGCAGCCGTTCAAGGCACCGGCAGAAGTGAAAGTGGTCACATTTCCAGTTTTGCGAGTAAAATTATTACTTGTCTAAGATGTATGGGACTGTTTGGGGCAGATCACGTTCTCGTACTTAAAACTGAAATCCATTTCTGGATCTGAGTCCTACAGTCTGGCAGAGCTGCTGGAGCCAATGAAATCAGAAGAGCTCAGCTTCAGTGTGTAACAGCATTAAAGCATCATTTTGAACAGTAGACAAAAATGGGTTTGCTTCACAAAACTAATAAGGGTCATGTAAAAATATATTCCATGTTTGGTGATATTCTGGTCTAATTTCTTGAAATAAAAATTGTGAATCAAATATCCTTCTTTCTACAATGTCACTATAGTCCAAGGGCCAATGTTTGTAAAGAAATATATTTGTAGGAATGTAGAAGCATTATTTTTTTATATAATTAAGTATCTTTTTTTCAGTAGATAGGGAAAACTTTTAATTCTGTTTTCACCTTGATTTCCATAATTTTGTCTCCAGCAGCGTCAAAATGTCAGACAAAAGTGATTTAAAAGCAGAACTTGAGCGCAAAAAGCAACGTTTGGCTCAAATAAGAGAAGAAAAGAAACGGAAGGAGGAAGAAAGGAAGAAGAAAGAGGTAAATATGCAAAAGCGCCTTTTAGATAACTCATGCTTGCAGAAGGGGTTGCTGAGCTTTTGACATCTCAGTATTGTATACCCCAAGGTATCTGTCATGTGGAATGAGCTCCTCAAACCCACATCAGCCTAACCTTAAAATCAAAATGCTTATTTTTAGTCAAGAAAGTTGGGGTGAGGGAATTGCTTTTAAAATCAACGCACTGTCAGATGACAACAGTTTAGACAACATGATGTGTATGTGTGTGTGGAAATAAAAATTGATTTGCCACAATGCTTTTTCCTGGGCTCTCCTTCAATGGAAAGGGAGTGGAGAGTAGGGAAAGACAGAAAGAGGGCTCACATTTTTTTCAAGCCATTACAATCTAAATATGTATTTTTGTACTCTGAAGACTAGTTTGATTACTAGCTAAGGTAACAGATTTACAATTATTATCCTCCAGTAAAGTAAAACATAATTGCAATTGCATTTTCATCTTCTGGCATGGGTGCATCTTTCAGTTCTGTTAAAGTTTGATTGACATATTAGTTTATTTGTCCTTGACAGTATGCATTAGGTTTTTCATTAAGGGATTTGTACTTCTTTTTATTCAGTCACTTAGTGGAATAGAGGTGAGAATTGACAGGGAGTGGATATTCATTTTCATGCAAAGTCAGAGAAGCATTAAGTGATTATGTTTCCTTTCCTTCAAATGTCAACACTTACTATAGTTTAAAGCACCTGTTATCCTTTACTAATAACTGGTTTCCTTTTAAACTGACACTTTAATATTGTACATGAATTTCATGGAATTACTGTGGAAATGTGATGTGATCCAAGAAATCAGTGTTCCAGTTTTGGCTGTCTTTTTAATCTTTTTTCATTTGAGTCATTTTTGTGCAATTACCAGCACACCCCCTGGTGAGGCTTCTGGAGTCACTAGGGGAGACTTCTGTAAGCAGAACTTTAAACATTAAAATTTTCAGTGTTCATTACTAGCCTGTTAATGAATTAGAGGGAAGGGAGCCAAGCTACTGGCTCGAGGAAGCTATTAACTCCTTTCCTTTGTCCTCTGCCTCTATTTTATGCCTTGTGGAGATCTTGTGGTGGTTGGAACTTTCCATTGGCCCCAATAGCCAGATCCAGCTCGGGACACCCAGCTCTACAGATTATGCTGCGGTGCTGTAAATGGGGTGTGCTGTCATGTCTGATGGCCTTCAGAAGTGAAGCCTAACATTCATTTAGGTGCTTAGCCATGTACACCAGTGCAAAGAGTTGTCTGCAATCCTACATACTGTGAGATACTTCAGGCTAGCTCGTGGGAAGAGCTGAGCAGAGGGATATGCCTGAATTTCGGTTTTGTCTGTAAAAACAATGTTCTTCTACATTTTGTCTGTGTTCAAACTGGAGAACAAGGGGATGCTTCACAACTTCAAGGTTTTCTGTTGAGCCTTCAGCAGCATCAACACCAGACTGAGACACTGTGGGAGTCCCCTGTGCCCCACACTCTGGTTTTAACAGAAGGGAAACCTCTCTGTGTGGTGGCTGGATAGGATCAGCCAATTGAGAAGTAACCTTAGGATCTAAAGTATAGAGGCAGATGCCTCCAGACATTCTCTATAAGAACTGTACTGGGATTGCTGTATTTAAGACATGACAAAGTGACAGACATGACTGCATTACTGGTTACTGCACTACGCTACAAAGTGGGACATGGGTTCAGTTCCCTCATCTGCTTGAAAGAAGGGCTGCAAGAGTCTGTTTCTTTCAATGGAGTACTCTAACCACATGGCTGGGGTATTGGTATTTTCCTTCCAAGCTACTAAATTGGGAAATGAGCCAAATATAATGGATTCTGGCTAATGCAGATGTTGCTTCTCCTGTTTCTAGGTCCCAGTAGACCAGAGGGACAGGAGGCTAATGTGTGGAAGCTCCAAGGAGGTATAGAGATCTAAGCAAAGAGGAAGGGTTTTGGCTGGTTGCCCAGGGGTGCAAAAATCCTATTTTAGACACATTAGTCCTTTCCTTTGCTCCTGTTAGATGTTGAAGCTCATGAGAAAGTCTTTTTATTACCAACAAGTGCTTGGGACCAAATGTAGATCCTTAAGCTGCTGTGAGGAACTGAAGGAGTTAATGCCTCAAACATTCATCAAACTGATCTTCTAAAGAAGACAGCTGAATATTGACTCTATTGTGTAATCCTGATACTTCGTATAAATGATGAAGGCCTTGCTAGGGACTATGCCCTTGAAGAACTAAAGGATTGATCAAAGGGGAACATCTGCCCCAGAAGAAGCCAAAGGCAGGGGTGGTTGCTCAAGAAGCAAAAACTGGCAGTAACTGGGGAAAGGTAAAGGTAGCAGGTGGAGATTGTGACCACTGACTCAATTGAACAAAAGGATTAATGCACCCCATCCCCCCTCAGTGCATGCGCAGAACCCATGTTCCACCTTTCCTTGTCTCTCATGCTGAGTTCATGGAAAACCCACCTCTCCTTGTCTAGTATGCAAATCAGCTGATAAGCCAAACTGAAAACGTTTCTGGGTGTTCATCCACCACCCAAGATTACCACACCTGAGACAGCGCTGGAACCTGGGGTGGTGATCCGGATTCTTTGACTCACTTTCTTTTTCTTTTCTTTTCTTTCCTTTTTTTTTTTTTTTTTTCTTTCATATAGATTTATGAATAAGAGACTACATAGCTTATTATCTATTTCCAAGTTTATAAGTTGTCTACCACAAGTAAAACATTTTATCTGGTCGTTTGGTGTTGTTTCACCTTAATTTAACCTGAGGGGATCAGAAAACCTTTAGAACTCACTGGGCTTCCAGTCTGGGTTCTAACAGCTGCATCACTGAAGTCCAATAGAATTTTGTTTCTTGATCCTGGAGGAAATAGGAATGGGCCATTTTTACTCAGGGTGATGATATCTGTTATTCTATGGTCAGCTTTTATATCAGCTGAATAAGTTGCATCTGATGAGTGAGAGGCAGAAGATTTCCATCGGTGTGCTGTAAAAATCATTGCAAATATCCTTGCAAAGATCAGTTTTCCTGTGCACTCAGGGAAAGATGATGTGGTGTTTTTTTTTTTTTCACGTATCTAAGTGAATTTCAAAGTGTACCTAAGCAGTGGTGCGTATAAATATTTTCCACACACTTAATTGCTAGAGCTGATTATATGTGGAGGAAACTTTTCTGTTTTGTTTTAACTCAGGCTGATCTACAGCAAAAGAAGGAGCCAGCTCAGGAAGATTCTGACCTAGACCGCAAAAGAAGAGAGACAGAAGCTTTGTTACAGAGCATTGGTATATCTCCAGAACCACCTCTAGGTATTTAAGAGAAGCACACTGTAAAGCATTCAGCTCTGCCACAATGAATGCATTCTTTCTATTAAAGCATGCTCAGCTTTTTTAATTTTTGGCTGTATTAGTCAAGTGAACTCTTCTGTTTGAATGCCTGCAATATCATTCACATATACCAGCTCATGGCGTTTTGAGTACTTTTCATTGCCAAAAACATCTGTTTCATTTTTTCAAGAAATTTTTGTGAACATAAAGCAGGTTGGTTTTGCATACCAGCAGTGATTTCTTTTCTGATGGACTGTTTTAGCTTCTCTCACATCTATCTGATGACCCTCAAAATATTATAAATGCTGTACTTCTTTAGCCTCAAGTTTTGTTTCAAAAATTCAGAGTAAGCGTTTGCTAAGGAAGGAGGAGCATAGTCATGTGGGAACTCCCACTGATTTCCTTTTAAAATCAAGCAAAACTGGAGAGCGGAAATAAAAAGGCCAATCACAAATAGCAAAAAGCTTATAATCAGCTCATTATTGTAGATTTTAGCTCTGGTTTCATGTGTTCAACTTTTTTTTTGTTTTGTTTTGATGTTTCAATCCTAGAATCTGAAGTCTTCAGTTTAAACGTACCTGACAAAGTTTATAGTATCTGAATACTGGTTATCTTAATTAAGATAATTAAGTTCTGTCTCACTTACTACATCGCCCTAAAGTGAGAAATTCCCTCCCTCCCTTCCTTCCTTCCTTCCTTCCTTCCTTCCTTCCTTCCTTCCTTCCTTCCTTCCTTCCTTCCTTGCTTCCTTCCTT